GGACGTCCGCGTGCCCGGGGCAGGGCGGCAGGCTGCACCCACGGGCGGGGCACGGGTGGCGGGTGGGGTGGTGCAGGTGCCAGGCTGAAGCCGGCTCCTCAGGATGTGGGGTCTGCAGCTGGGAGAGTTGGTTTGGGGTTGGCAGTGTCCACTGACACACACGTCACCGCTTGTGACTCTGGGCCATGCCATGAGCCCATGTTCCCTTCAGGCACAGAGCGCTCGGTGTTGTCCCCTACCCTGCAGTGACCGGAGGGCATACTCCCAAACCCACCAGAAATTGCCCCTGCACCTGACAAGCAGTGTTTGTGTGTGTGGCGGAGGCGGGGGAGCGCAGCACCCCTGGGTGTCGCCATTGCGGACTCGTCCCGCACTACCTGGGTCACACGCTCCTACCTTGGAGGGGTCTGCTGTGCTCGGGGTGATGGGACTTCACCCCCACACGCTGAACTGCCCCCTCTCCCGCACCCGCACCTTCCTCCAACGGGGTTGGGCCAGGCTGCCCCAGGGCTGCACACCCGCCCCAGCCCCAGCCCCCGGCTGCTCCTACACCCAGACCAGGGGAGCAGCGGGACTGGGATTACCCCGTGGGGCAGGGAAGAGGGGAGACAGGAGCAGGGCCACAGGAAGGAGCAGGGTGCCCAGGCGCTGTCCCAGGGCGGCATCTTTCCCCCTGTCCTGCCAGAGTCCTTGTCCCTGGGGCTGAACTGGATTCCCAGGGAGGGCCTGGAGCGAGGGGTCAGGCCGGGCCAGGGGTCACAGCCCCTCTGGGCCGGGCCGGGCCGGGCGACAGGCGGGTCTGCTCCCCTATGAACCCCCCACGACCAGGACCGGAGCGGTGCCCACGACAAGGCCCCTTATCCCAGAACAGCCGCCGGGCCTGTCCCATCCCCACCGCTTACCAGTGCTCCTCTCGATGGGGGTCTCCAGGGCGAGGTGTCCCACACGGCAGATGTACTTTTTTTCCTTCTTTGGTGCCAAGAGGACGAGTCTGGTCTCCTGCTGGAAGCTCTTCCCGTCCCGTGCCAGGACGGCCGTGCCGGGCTCCACCCTGCACTCAGCCGAGTCCCGCAGGATCACAGCAGTGTCCTCCCCCTTGCCCCTCCGCAGCCAGGTCACGCTCAGCTCCCCCGGGAAATGCCCCGCAATGCGGCAGCTCAGGGTGACTCCCTTCCCCGTGGCCACGGACTCAGGCTGGGAGATTTCGGACACGTCCGGGGGCCGCAGGAGACCTGGGGAAGGGAACAGGCAGAGGCAGGGGGAGGGCGACCCCAGGACACGGCCCTTCCTCACCCGCGTCCCTCAGGCTGAGCTCTCTCTCGCTCGGGGGCTCTCCGGGGCTGTGCTGGACGCACACTTGCACTCGCAGCTCCGGCCGGGTCAGGCTCCGGCTGGGCACTCTCCAGACGCTCGTCGCGGTGAATGTGCTGTCCGTGTTCTTGTCTATCTGTGCGGGGTCTTCCCTCCAGCTCCCGGCCCCGCCCCAGCCCCACTGCATCAGGCTCCGGCTGGGCACTCTCCAGACGCTCGTCGCGGTGAATGTGCTGTCCGTGTTCTTGTCTATCTGTGCGGGGTCTTCCCTCCAGCTCCCGGCCCCGTCCCAGCCCCACTGGATCACGGGCACCTCCCTGGGGTAGAAGTTGTGGAGCTGGACAGCAAACGGCACCTTGTCGCGGGGGTCCCACTCCGGCAACACCTGGATCTCAGACACCTGCGGCCGGGCTGGAGGGACAGTGGGGGGTTAGTGCAAGGGACTTCCCTGGAGCTGCCCCCACATCCTGCCTGGGGGCGATGGATGGTTGGACCAATCTGGGAGCTGGGTGAGGGAGGCTGGGGCAGTGCAGTGAGCACTGGGTGAGGTCCACCCCCAAGAGTGGGTCAGTCCCAGTTCCCAGGTCCATCCCCGTGACAGAATCAGGCCCTGGCTGCACCGGGAGGTGGTATCGGGGCGCTGGGCACTCACCCCACACCCGGATCTCCGGGGACACTCGCTCCTCTCTGATCTGTTTGGCCTCGTGGAGGAAGACGCACCGGACCCGCGCCCCGTCGTCCTGCAGCGTGGGGGTGAAGGTCAGGGAGGACGTGAGGCGGGTCCCAGCTCTCTCCTCGGTCACTCTCCAGCCCGGGGCGAGGGCGGGGAGCAGCGGCTGGTGCTCGGGGCTCTCCTGGTCCATGTTGCTCTCAAATGCCATTCTGTCCTCGCTGTGGATCAGCCCCCACTTCATGACTGTATCTTTTGGAAATGTCCCCTCCATGGAGCAGCGCAGGGTCCCCTCCTGGCCCAGCAGGCACCGCTCCGGCCCCTCCACCTCTGAGACATTGTAGGAGACGGCCCAGCCTGGGGGCCAAGCACATGACACGCAGGACGAATCAACCAGGGATCATCTGGGATGCAAGTCTGAGCCCAGGGCAGGGAACCACGGGATGAAACCTGCCTGGGGAGAGGCAGTTTCTCTTCTGGGATTGACCTCTCCAGCACCAGGTGTCCTTGCTCCTTCACTGCCACCTCCCCGCTCTCTGGTCCATCCCCTCCCTCTGTGCCCCTGCACCCCAACTTCCCGCTCTACCTGTCCTTCTCCTCCTCCAGAAGTAAATGGCTGCAGCGGCCGCAGCTCCTGCTCCGAGCAGGATCCCCCGGACGGCTCCCAACACGG